TTTGTATGATGGTAGTATATACACTAGTAAAAATATAAAATTTTAATTCTCAACTCAGCTTACTTCATGAGATATAGCCATCTTTAGAAACGCAGAAATTCCAAAATACACTATATTTAATTTTAAATATCTCAAAAAGTAATTAAGCTAAAGACACGATTTAAATTTTATTAAATAGCTCTTTATTATGATATAAAATTTATTATTGAAAAAAAGTCTATTACCAAAAACCGGAAATAGAAAACCGGAAATGGCTATAAAATAAAAATTGCTCTTTTTTTTCTTTTAATTTTTTTTACAGATAGACATTATACTTCTTAATATTTGTACAAAATCCTAGATTGGGACGAGTACTGGGTCAATAGTTATTACACTTTAAATATAAGTAGTATGGCTTAAATATATTATACCAAATATGGAATAATTATTTTTTTTTAAAGTGGACAATATATGTGAATAATAGCATTAAAACTAAAATCCTAAAAAATCTTATTATTTTGCATTTTTTTAAATGTTAAAAAACTCAAAACATTTACCAAATTGTATTGTATTATTTTAAATATAATGCAAAACGCCTTAATTTGGAGGCATTATAAGGAATAAATAATAAGATTTTGTAACAAGTAATAAAGTAACAACTATGATAATAAAAAGTGAGCTCAATAATCTCTTCACCCCAACCTAAAGATTATATTCGTCCCAAATTTCTTCTTAAATTCGAGATTTTTTGACCTAGCAACTCTGTGAGTGAATGATGTGGTAAATTAGATAAGTTAGCGAACCAGCATAACTTTCCATTTCATCCCTTAAAAGATTATAAACATTACATTGCACAAAGTCTATGCAATCCACCCCAGCCTTGCTGTTGCTTAAGGAAATGCCAAATGTGTCCCGGCACTTTGGAACTTAAAGAAAGACTACATTTATTGTTTGATAATAATGCCATAGATTATATAACATTTAAACAATGGTTGGTAGCTGACCGTACTACACTCGAAACTTTAACAAAGTCCGCCAACGAATTTGTGGAGTATTTGATTGATAAATTAAATATTTTAATTCCTCTTGCACTTATTTTTTCGGAACAATCTTCATTTTTTAAGTCATCAACGAATTTGAAGGATGGGGAATATCTAATAATATCCGATTTTGCAGAGAACTACGCTTTTGTAGTTCAAGATCACGCTCAAGGTTTCCATTGGACTAATAATCAAGCAATACTTTATCCATTTATGATTTATTACCACGAAGGCGATATCATCTAACATATAAGTTACGTGATTATATCAGATTGTCTCAAACACAATACATGTTCATTTCATTTATTTCAAATAAAATTAATTCTATTCTTGAAAGAAAGATTTGATAAGATTTCAATAATATTTTATTTTTCTGATGGAGCTGTTACCAAGTATAAAAACAAAAAAAACTTTGTAAACCTCTACAACCATTATAATGATTTTGGGATCAAGGCAGAATGACATTTTTTTGCAACTGCACATGGCAAAACTCTTTGCGATAGCTTAGGGGGAATTACTAAGAGGTTGGCGGCTAGAGTAAGCCTGCAACGTCCTCATGAAAATCATATAATAACTCCTATTGACTTATATAATTATGTGAGAATCAATATCACGGGAAATGGCCAAGCGAATTCCCGGGACACAAAAATATCATTCATTTATTCCAGTGGATGGAAAAATGAAAGTCAAATTTTATTCTAATTCATTAGATTATTTAATCTATGATATTATTTAATTAATATGTTTATTCGAATTTTTAATTTCCATTAATTAGCTAAATAAAGTTATAAATATTTTTACAATTATTTTCCTTCTAAAATAAAATAGCTAAACTTATGTGCTAAATATGACACAATGTCTACTAGTGATCTGCATAGGGCCTAATTTATCTAACACGGCCAGAAAGATTTATAAAAAAATATATCCGGCCCGATCCCAAACGAATTTACTTTTTATTTGTTTCGTAAATTACTATACATTTAGTATAATATAGGACTACTTATATTTAAAGTGTAACAACTTTTGGCCCAGTACTCGTCCCAATTTAGGATTTTGTACAAATATTAAGAAGTATAATGTTAATCTGTAAAAAAATTTAAAAGAAAAAAAAAGAGCAATTTTTATTTATAGCCATTTCCGGTTTTTGGTAATAGACTTTTTTTCAATAAAATAAATTTTATATCATAATAAAGAGAGTATTAATAAAATTAAAATCATGTCTTTAGCTTAATTACTTTTTGAGATATTTAAAATTAAATAGTGTATTTTGGAATTTCCGCCTTTCTAAAGATGGCCACATCTCATGAAGTAAAGCGATTTGAAAAGTAAAATTTTACATTTTTATTAGTTAGTGTATATACTACCAACATGCAAATTTTTAAAAAAATCGAAGGGGGTCGGGTTGAGAATCGACTTTTTTTGGTTGATTTAATATGGAATACAACATATTGATATTGAGTTTGTATTCTTTTATATTTCTCCTGTACTTTGTTTTGAAGAAATCAATAAATTACTAAAATTCTTAAACAAAGTCAGGACACTTTTTCAGGAGAAAAATAGTCTGGGGTTCATAAATATTATTTTTTTAAATAATATATATTATAATCGATTATGTCTAACCACTATTCTTGAAGATTATAATTTTCCATATTTAAATCAGTAATGAGTTCAGGCAATAATAAATAAGATAATTTCCATACATAACGTTTTTTTCAAACGGTTTCTGGGTAATGTTAGGAATCCTTTATTTCCAAACGAAGGATATTAATTTTTGGAATTTCAATTAAGTTCATGTTAAAATTTCCGTTAAATAGAGTTTAAAATTCCTGAACCCGAATTAAACCCTAATTTGGCAATCTAGCAGATATTTTTCTCTTAATATTGTACAAAAGTTAAAAATAAAATGTTAAGATCTAAACATGCCCATTAAGAGAAATATGATGCTCAAAAATTTTATACGAGTAACCATATTTATTTTTTACCCCCCTCCCATGTGAAACTTATATACACCATATTTAGGTTGAACTAGACTTATTTGATACCAATCCATCATATCAATATTTGGTGCCGATAATAATCCTAACCTACGTAGTAATTGCCATAGAAAGGTGGCGCTTGGTTTGCTAATTATTCAATAGTTCTAATTAGCTATCGATTGATGCCTCTAATAATCATATATTTATATACCTTAATAAGGTCAAGAAAAAACAACTTAAAATATATTGGTTGTGCTTGTGGTTTGTGCTCATTGCTAGTTTAGTCGATTTTTAGACTTAAGCCACGGATCTGGGTTTTACACAATTAACCAATTATAATCAATTGAGTTTCATAAAACTATTTATTGAGTTCACGACTCAAGTTCATAACTCGAGTCGTAAAAATGAGTTGACTAATCGACTCAAAACTCGACTTGAGTTTCAAGTCGATTTTTTTGACTAAAAACTCAACTTGAGTCGTAGTTAAGCCGACTCGGCTGAGTCGTTTAACAACAATTAACCTTTTCGGTTTCAGGTATAGGGGTAATAAAAGCAGTTAAAAGATCTTTTTATTGTCTTACTCATGCCAATATATTATATTAGAAACTCACCCTTCGAGCTCTGAACATTTACAACAGATTCGCTTTTATTTGATCATCTATCAAAATATTTTGTTAGAAAAATAAGCCTTTCCTCCACCCATGGCCTAGATTATAGATAAGATAGTCAAAAAATATTTTTATTTCCTTGCATTTCATATATTAAAATAGTATGTTATAAAAAAATTAACCAAGCCTACCCCCCCCCTCAGTCCTTAATTGGCCAAATCTTAAATAATGAATAAAAAAAAATAAACCAAGCATATAAATGTGAGCATTGAGTATCTAAAATTTTCAAAAATAAATTCTGAGAAAATCAAAATTTTTACTGAGAAATCGTTTCAGATTATTTCTAAAATTATGAAAATTAAATTCTGACCAATTAAGGAAAAGAATCCTGAGCGTTAAGTTTTTATTCTGAGTAAATAATATCGGTTGAAATAATTTATGTAAAATCAAATTTTATTCTCAATTCTAAATTAAATGCTTAGCTAATTTTTATAATAAAAGATTATTGTATCTTAGATATTCTTAATTTTTAATAAATTACTTGTATATATATCTAAGATAAGATGCATTTTGAAAATCTGTACCTGCATCTAGATACTTTTTTCAAGGACGTACCCAACTCTATTTGAGTAGTACTCAAAAAAAATTGAGGTGAGCAGCTTTTACTCAAAAAATCACAGGCGACATCTTTATTAGCACCCCTAAAAAGCCATACAAATCATGTTATTGAAGATGATTTATTAATATTAAAGTTTCCTCATAATATCAAAATTAATTTCAGTAAAATGATAAATATAAAATAAATAATTTCAATGTTTTCTCTTTTATGTGATTTAATTTAATTTAAAGAATTAAAATTTAAAAAAAAGAAACTTAGAATATTAATATATTATAAAATACATGTATTATAAAAAATTTGCATCAAAAAATTATTTTATAAACATAAATACTTAGAAGAATACTAGTTAAAATTTAAAAACAAAAGATTTGTCTATACATCAAACTCCAATAATTGTTTTAGATACATTAAAATGAATGTATGTATAAATTATCATACAATATAAATAATCGTAAAGATGACATTGTAAATTGGTATGGAATCCTAAACCCAATGACTATGGATAGTGATGCAAAATAGCTCCATTTGAGGCAATTTTTTAAAAATGGGTAACTCAATATTTTAGCCAGAAAAATATTGCGTATGCCTGAAGATTTTGTTCATCAAAAATGTTCGAACATTTATCTCAAAATCTCGAGGCGGCAATATTTTTTTTAGGCTAAAATATTGAGTGGCCATTTTTAAAAATCGGCACAACTGGAGAGATTTTGCATCATTAACTGGGTATATATAAATTAAAGAATTTGGCCAAAAGAGCTAATATAAAAAATAGTGTAGATTATAATATAAAATAAAAAAATGTAAATTAAGCCATCCTTTCCATTTTCTTGAGCAAATGACCAGCAACGACTAGTCTCTGAATCTCGGATGTGCCTTCGTAAATTTCCGTAATTCGTGCGTCCCTATAATGCCTTTCCGCTGTCCCATCGCGCACGTAACCTGCACCTCCAAGAACTTGTATGGCTGCGTGTGTTGCGAAAGTTGCAGCCTCGGAAGCCATAAGTTTTGCAGCAGCTGCGTTAAGACTCAGAGCGGAAGCATCACCAGAGTCATAAGTGTGGGCGGCTTTCCAAGTCAGCAAACGTGCCGCGTCTAAACGGCAGTGTGAGTCAGCTAATTTTATCTTTCGTATTTTGGTATAAAATTTTATTTAGTTGACTCTTAACCTTTAATATTTTAATTATTATAACAGAATAATTGAATTTTTTAAAAAATAATAAACTACAAAATGATCTATTTATATTTAAAGAAGGATAAATAATTCGGTTTAAAACCCAAATTGAATACTACCCTGGCCCATTTGGTAAGGTGAGTCATTATTGTCCAATGAATCAAGAAGTTTGAAGTTATTAGGATATACTGATCATTCTAAATCAGGTCACACTCACAATATAAAATTAATAATTAAGAGGATATAATTAAAATTATAATAGTTAATAAGTATTTGTTTATTGCAGTTTGTTTCGCATATTTTTTTACCATTTTCGGGACGTAAAACATTTTAGTTTCTGGAACCGAAACCGGTTCTAACAAGAGTTCAGACTAAGCAAGAAAGTCGATTATAATTAGTTTAATTAATTTTATTTTACAAAATTTTAATTGCTAAAACTTTGTAGAGGTCATAAAATAGGAATGAAATATTTATAAATCCAACTTTATCTTCGTCCTTGAATGCATGCTTCTCACACCTATCATTTTATAAAAAATCATTCATATTTTTTAAATTCTCCATTTTTTTTTATATAATAGTTTATTTTTTTTATAGGTTCTTTTACTTCTTCAGCTATATTTTTAAAATAATTTTTATATTAGTATATATAAATTATTAAATAAATAAAGTTTTAAATTTAAAAAAAATATATTCAATGTATTTTATAATAATAAATAGGTAACAATGAATGAAATTCCTATGGATAGTGAAAATTCATTAGATGAGAGTTCAGAAGAGGAAAATAATCTAATAATATAAAAATGAAAAAGAGTATCATCAATAGTAAGTGAATTTGATATAAATGCAAAAAACAACAAAAATGTCATTCCTAAGGAAGAAATAGGGCGGGATCTTCTAATGCAACCAAAATACATTATAAAAAGGGGGTGTAAGATGTTAGTAAGTCAATTTTTAATAAAAGTTAAATATGAAAGTTTACGGATAAATAATTGTTTCAAATACATTCATAATCAATTAACGATTATATTTGTTGTAAATATAAATTGCAGTAGATCATTTTAAAATCGGCGTTAAAAAACGCGGGGAATAAAATAAAAAATATTATTAGGTTTATAAACTATAAAGTAAGAAAAAAGTGTGCATATTTCGATTTACTAGGCTATTTATATGTCCATATAATACTGAGCTAAAACAAAAATAACGTGAATTAAATCATTTTCTCGAGAATTATATTTGATTTGAAAATCATAAAATATCCCATTGAAAAATCTAAAATAATGAACTTTAATTCAAAAAATTGGAAATAATATTCTAATAAATAATAAAAAAAATTTTACAAGACAAATGTAAACTATTAAGTCAGCCGAAATATGAATAACTAAATACAATAAATCTGCATAGGGGGAATTACAATCCGCCCGAAAATATATTGAGTAGATTTTAAATATTTTTCAAGCAGAATGAGTTGAACGGGCTTATATACTAAAAATTATTGTTTTCTTTCATAATATTGCACATTTTTTATTTTATAAGTTTGAGTAAACCTATATTAAATAAAATAAATAAAGAGCCAACCAATCAAATAATTATAAACATATATAGTGAGATAAATGGTAAAATTTAAAATGTTTTTCAATATAATATAAAAATCATTGTACTGATATATAATATATTCCGATATTCAAAAAAAACCAATCGATACCGATATTTACGTTATTTCATTTAATATATCTCAAATCCATATAATAAAAAATAAATATTTTCTGTGCAAAATACAATTACTAACTCTAAAACTATCGCAAAAAAAATACTTAAATTTTTGTTTCTCATGATATTTGGTGAACTCACATCTTAAATATTTTTCTTGTTACAAATAATATAACAAAAAAAATATACCACCTCTCTAACTATTCTTTATTTAATAATTAGATTTTTTATAAAATATTATAGATAAATTGAACTTTTGTTCCATTTATTCATTTTATTAGGAAATTGTAAGATAAAAAAATATATATATACAATCATAAAGTAACCAAAAAAATAATATTGGATCAGATTAATTTTTTGGAAATATCGGTCTAACACAAATTTATATTAACTATTAAACATCGGCCCCGATGCAGTATTAAATGGCACCCTAATAATTAAGATTTCATTTAGCCCACTAGACTAAACAGGTCATTAATAAAAACCTGTATGGCTTGCAGTTTGGCTATAGGCACCCCAAACGCCTTCCTTTTGAGCGAGTAATCCAAGGCTAAGTCAAGGGCGGCTTGTCCTATGCCTAAAGCCTGGGCAGCTATTCCTATTCGACCTGCATCTAAAGATTTCATGGCGATTTTAAATCCATCCCCGGGTCGGCTCAGTATATTAGATAAGGGTAAAATATAGTCCTCGAATATAACGTTACTCGTTGCCGAGGCTCTTATACCAAGCTTGTCTTCTTTCTTACCTAATATTTAGGGCGGAAGAAATATGTTAGTAGTTTCATTCAGATCAAATATCACTAAAAAAGTCTGACTTAAATTTTTATTATTTTCAAAATAAGAGATCTGATGTGTATGTCCAAGTTGATCATACAGGGTAAATTATTAGCTTAAAAAGGATAAACTAAAGCTAACCGAAGGCTAACCCATTGGGAGTTTGGACGTTACTGTCATCGGTAGATTTTTTATTAGTTTCGAAGAGAAGAGCCGAAATACGTTTACTTTTGGGTATCTCCTTTGTTTTGACGTCTATCGTCAAATCGCGTAAGAAGACTATACCAGCGGTGGCGTTGGGTCCGTTAGTTACCCATGCCTTTTGTTAATTTTTTTATCGGAAGAAGAAATGTCTTGCATGACAGCGATTTTTAAGATGGCATTTCAAAATATAAGTAAATAAAGATCGAACTTTATAATAATTATAAATGAATGATGATAAATGAGTTAGTACTATAGAGAAATGGATGATCGATATATCGGGATAAAACAATGGTCCGGAAACAAGAATTTTAACGGGCCGAGTGGATCTGGTAAGCAGAAAATGATTCCCCTGAAAAAAATCTTTAGAAATTAATTCATGGAAAAAAATCTCAAGTTCCTCGAATGTATATACCCTAAAAAAAAGTGGAAAATAATTCCCCGGAAAAAAATTTCATTTTAATAATTTTTTTTTCTTCAAATAAAAATAACCCCGCCACCAATAAAAAAATAAATGTCATAATTATTACTTTTAAACTTTATTTTGAAGAAAATATATAAAACATCTTTTTTGTATATTATGATTTCAATGAAAATGGGGGAGGGGGGGGGGGGCGTCTGCAGAATTTTTGACAGGGGTTCTCTTTCAAAAGAAGTGTAATGGAAATCTTGATCAAAAAATAATTTTAATCATAATTATTAAAATTTTTATTATTTTAATCTTAAAAAATTCTGAGCAAAAATCTATTTTTAAAGATAGATAAGATCAAATTTTACCTCAAATTCCAAATATTTTTTGTTAAATTCTTTTGTATAACTAAATCTTTTTAAATTTCTATACATAAAAAAACCTTAAGTTGAAATCACAATTTATATTAAAAATTAATCTTTTAAGATTTTTAAAAAATTTCTGAAGATTTTTTTTCAAACTCGATACCAGGCGCGCGTAACCAATGGGTTTTCATAAATACCATTTTAAGCTGAAACTGCATTGGGTGGGTTTTTGGTTTAAAAATACCCGCCCGCCCATATTTTCAAAAAAATATATACCCGCCCGCCCCGCCCATTTGTCTAAAATTCCTTACCCGCTTGCCCGTCCATTAGTCTAAAAATTTTTACCCGCCCGCCCATTATTTATAAAAAATTTTAACCCAAGTCCGCTTATAAAATTTAATTATGGCTATTCTTTCAATTTTTTAAGCATCTAATAAAAATATTTCAGCATTACACCTCTACAAAAAGTTTATAATTTAGGAAATAAATTTAAGCATAAAAAAAATATTCATTTAAATATGGACAATTTATTTGATCAAATAGAATATTTATTAGGGATGTACCGATATTTTTATCGGATCAGAGGGCCGATATTTCACCCATTTTAAAATATCGATTATCGGCCAATATTATAAAATTTTCCGATCCAATATAAAATGGCCTCTTTAACAAAAATAAAATGTAAAATTTTTAAAAATGTTAATCTAAAATCATTTATTTTTATTAGTGCTGTGAAGTAACGTCAAAAAAGTAAACGACGTTACTAACGCCATTTGTTACCTTCTTCTAGAGATAACAAGTAAAGGTAACGCATTTCTTTTTTTGAGTAACGGTAACGCAAATACTTTATATTTTTCCTTAAAAAATATCAACAAAAAGAAAAATAGATTTTATTGTATTATAAAATTGCTTTTATTTATTTTTTAATTATTAATATAAATAATTTAATCCGAGTTTTAATTCGTATCAACCACTGCACTGCCTTCATTTTTATTTTAAATTATCGTTGTTAAATTTTCTGTCGAAAATAATATTCAATCAAAATTCAAAGTAAATGTTAATAATGATATTATTATTCTTATAATTTATTTTAAGAATATTATGTCCATATTACTTACTTCTTCAGATGAAGATGATTTAACCCTCCCCTGGCCCCAATTTGAAATATATTTTAAACCAATAAAGAAAATTGATGGTACTAAGTCTACAATTTGGAAATGTAAATTATATCCCAACACAAATATTTCAACCTTAATGTCCAGCAGTTCAAAACTTAAAAAAGCATTTGAAGGTAAAAAGATAAATTAATATATCATTATTTTAAATATTACTTTAATAATAGAATAATATTTTGAAAAGCTTAATCATGGAATTAAAATATAAGTTAGGGCTATGTCGATATTAAATATCGGATCGGCACCAATATTTAGAATTTTCCGAAAATATCAGATCGGGCCGATACCTGTAAAAACAAATCCGATCTTTTTACTTTTCTTTTTTTTGTTATTTTATATTATATTATGTATATTTATTTTACATTATTATAATATTTTCTAAAAAAATGCTATCTTTTTATTCAATATATAGTTATCAAAAATAAAATAAAATAAAAATATTATATAAAAACCGTGGTGGGACTACAAGTTCCCAAAAATCAAGCGTAATTATATTTTAAAATTATGATTTGTAGGTTTTGTTTTAAGAAATAAAATTCTTTAGGTTCTGATGTAAGGGCTCTTATCTTATCCCCTATATTTTTTAAAAACTTTAAAGTTCCACTTGGCATATGTCCAAGGGAAGAGATAACAATCGGTGTAAAAATATAATTTGTGAATTTGGAATATTTCATTGTTTTTTTTTCTCGGCTATATCAACCGGATTAGAATTTAAATTTTTTGGGAAAGAAGATACGCATGTGAAGTCCCAAATTAAGGATTTCCCTAAAGACCAAGGCACGGAAGTTAAGCCATCAGGTCTTAAGCCATCATCTAACGATAAATTTGTAGGCTCCAGGATGTTTGGTATTCGGGCCCTGGTAAGAGAACGGCTAATAGCTAAATTAATTGCTGCATGCCTTGCATGCCTGCCTTGACTATATATACAATTTAGACCATGTCTCCCTTTGGAGTCAACTAATGTTTTACATTTGATGCATGTATGTGGTTGAACAATGTTACATCCAAGTCGATGGCCTATGGCAACTCTTAATTGTTCATCTGATAAGAGGTTACATAGGTTACGACTTGGTAATGCTTCCAACCATTCATAACCACTAGTACAGTCAGCATTCTGTAATAGTTGAATATACTCCAAAGGGGGGTTTGATGAGATTATTTTAAAAAAATTTTTAATTAAAGGTTCGAAAATAGATTGGTGTGTTAAGATCGTGGGTAAGACAGCTTCAGGTGGAGCCTAAATAAATTTTTTTTAACAATGCAGCACAACATCCTTTAAAATTTATTCTTTTTTAAAATAGATTTATAGTATTTTAAAAGTTTTTTTTATTAAAATAGAAAGGAACACCTAAAGTTTTAATTATTTTAAATCTTTTTAAATAATAACGCCAATTTTATTAATTATACTTTAAATAAAAGAATATTTTTAAATATGGTATCTGAATTGTGGAAAATTTTTACAAATGACAAAGAAAATTTTGTAAAATGCGTTATCTGTGGAATCATCTGAGTTTACCTTCAGTACGGCAGAGGATATAGATACTCCATATCGTAGAATCTTATAGCCAGAACTAGAGGCTCTTGTATCTATTTTAAAAAATCTAATATACTATAATTTTATATATTATGTACAATTTTATAATTCATACCAACATAAAATGGATATATTATCAAATATGTTTTTTAAATTAGTCTTAATTGTAGAAATAAAAAAAAATTAAATGCATAATGATTTTTTGCATAAAAAATATTGATTTCTTAATTACATTTGGTTCAATATAAATATCGGATCGGTATCAGTATCGCATCAGTTTTGGAGCAATATCGGATCGGATCGGTGAAAATATGTGGATCGGCACAGCTCTAAATATAAGCAATTAAATTATACTACAGTATTAGGTTGGAAACCAACATTAAAAACCCAAAATTATCAAAATATTGGTGTTGGTTCAAAGTATTATATTGAGTTTTTATATCTTTTATTTCTTGTTTTAGTATTGCTATTGGTTTGACTATAATTGTTAATAAATTTAAAGAATAAAAAATAATGATTTAAAAAAACTTTTAAATAAATATGAAAGAGTGGCGTAGCCAGGATTTATCCAATAACAAAATTTTACAGAGAATTTCATTATAGATTTTATTTATTAATATATATAACATCCCATTATTTAACGAGCTGTGTTGAGCACTAAGCGCTCGTTTGTCTGATCAAAATTTTGAAATCAATTGTTGCTAAAAATAAATAAAAATTGTTACATAAAGATGTTATCTTATAATATATTATTTTGTATAAATTTATTTATATTATAATTAAATATATGAATATTTTTTTATAAAACGGTCTTATATATTCATTTTTTATAGTTTTATTTTATTATATATTGTCGGAAAAAAATAAATATTATTTTTGTATATTTAATTTTTTTAAGTAACGAGTAACCAGTTACTTTTTTGAAAAGTCAGTAACGCGTGTTCCTTTTTTGAAAAGGTAACGAGTAACTGTAACGCGTTCCTTTTTTCTAACGAGTAACGGTAACGCGTTTCTTTTTTGTAGTAACGTTTACAGCACTAATTTTTATAAATAAAATCGAAATCCATTTATGTATATTTTTTTAATAATAATAATTAATTAATAAACATTCTGACATATTATTATTTTTTGCACATTCTGTTTATAAAAGTGTACGATAATCTCTTCAGAATCTGTTGAAGCTGGTGATATTGACAGTTACCATCGCTGCAGACTGACCTCTGATAAATTAGAAATTTTAGTATTTCTAAAAAGAAATCTTCGATTCATTAATGTTAAATATTATTTATAATATTTATTTCAAATTTCATATAAATTTGTTTATTACTTATTATGTATATATACTTATAACAATAAAAATATTTTATATACTTTTAGAATTGTAATTGAATTGAATATAAACTATAACTGATCATTATAATATATTTAAATGACATAAGTTATGGTATAGTTAAATTATAGATGTTATACTAATAAAAAGTATATTAAAAATTAAAACCATTGATATCTTAACAAAATACAAAATTAGATATGATATCGAATCGGTAATCGGCCGATATAAATTTAATATTGGAAATATCTAATAGGATCGGCCACCAAAAAGTGGTATCGGTACACCCCTAATATTTATGAAAT